TACTCTCAAACAATTCGCTAGAGAAAAATCTATACTACCAAACAATTTGCTATCGAAAAGTGACCTTCGAACTTTTCTTTTGTTAGAATTATTCTTGATATATAAATGTTGCAAACATTTGGTGTTTGAGGGACTAACTATAATTCAGTTAATGTGTAAAAATTAAAGTTGAGTACACATTTTTTTAAAAACTTACGCATGTCCTTTCAATTCAGCCTCTAATTGGCCCGTAATATTCCAAATGTAAATGGCACCATCAGCTGAGCCACATGCTATTTTCGTGGCATTCATATTAAAAGAGGCACGCGCCCAATCACAGCTAAGTTTAAAGTGTTCATCGCTGAAGAAGCAAACAAAAAATAATTAAGAAATGCTAACAACTTAAATTAATTTCTAAAATAATAACTTACGAAAATGTGGAAATAATTTGATTTTTACGTAAATCTAAAAGTTTTATAGTATCATCACGTGTTGAACATATGAGGTAATTGCAATCTGTTAAAGAAAATTTATTAAGTTTTTCGTTACTTAAAATTTTAATATAAAAAATAGAGTTTACCTTTCGACAAATCCAATGAGGTAATTTTAGCATTCATTAAGACATCATCGGCCTGTTTTTCCGTACGTATATCCCAAAAACGTATTTTCTTATCGTAGTGACCACTTATGATTGTAGAACCTAAACTATCGGTGGTAACGAGATCATTACAACTTGAACCGGCAAATTTTGTCTCTATACATGCTATACTACGTAAGTCCCAAATTTTTAAGGTTCTATCATGACTGCCGGTAACAACTTTTACCGGTTCTTGAACATATTTTGCTGCCATTACTTTGCCACTATGACCGGTTAGAGTGTGCTGGAATTAGAGAAAGTAAATTGTTTGAAACAACTCATTATAATTATAACATAAATATTTAATAGAATAAATAAAATATTGCCACAATTTTTTATTAAAGTAATCAAACTAAATGTGGAAAAAGGCAATTTTCAAAAACTTGGTTCGAAGGACTACAAAATTTCACTTTCAATGAATTAGAATGAATTAGTTGTCAAAGTCTAAACAAATACTGCTCTTTTGTAATTTGTGAATTTCTTGATTCCAAAAGTCTTTAATTTAATTTCTATGATTGTATTTAAGAATTGAGAATTCTCTAATGTGGCTCATAGCTGTTGTATGTATTAATACAACAGGAAATTAATCAGCGCTCCAGTTGTAACAGCTTCAAACTGTGTTGAACAAACACTCTTTCGCTGACACCCAAGCAAGCATTCACCCAACTAAACATAAGCTTTGGATGTCTAAATGAGAAGCTTCTACCAAAAAAAAAAAATAATAATAATAATAAATGCATTCATATTCCAAAGAAGTGTTATATGAAAAATTGGATTTTAATCGCAATTCAACAATTTCACATAGTGCAACATAAAAACGCACACGCTCACACTTGCCACCAAAAAAATACAGACAGTTGCTTGCTTACTTACTCCCAGTGCAACAATTCATGGCCACAAAAATTCAATGGAAATTATTTATGAGCATGTGGATGGTGATCTCATGATGATGGTGATGGCATGATTACATTTCGTGTTAACATTTTTAAATTATTGGTAAAGTAGTAAATATGTTCTTCTTTTTTTTAAGATTTTTATTATTTGTTTGTGGTTTAAGTGTGTGTATTTTATTTCTTTGGATTGTGTGGTATAAAAATCGGTCTAAAAACACCTTTTTCCAATAACATTTTTATAAAGGAAAAAAAAAAAAATTTGTGGATTTTCTCTTTAATGAATGAAAATTCTCAATTGAACAAAAAGGTTAATTAGTGTTCTCCCCCTTGTTGTTATAATTTTGTTGTAGTTTTCTTTTCTTTTTCCTTTTCAAAAGTGTAACATTTAAGGTCAAAACAATAATTAACATTTAAAAGAAAAATTCTTTATTATTGTAAAGAAAAATATATTTTTAACAATCTTTTAAATTTTTTAACAGTAGTATTTTCTTTGTATATTATACTACTCTTTAATTATGATTATTTGTCGAAGTTTTCTTAAGATTTTCTTTAGTAATTTTAATTTTTAAATCTACTTTTAATTGTGTAGTGTATGCGTTTTTTAAAAAGTAATATGTATTATCAATCACGCACTGATATTTTTGGGGAAGAAAATTAAAAAGAACTTTGAAAGAATTTAAACTAATAATTAAAGAGTTTAAAAACAAACAAAAAATTAATTGCACGTGTAAAAAACAATAGATCTCGAAAATCATTTGTCTTCCTAAACCAATCCCAAGAATGAACACTTAAGAACAGGGGAAAGAAGTTGATACAGTTTAACTTTTATATACTCTTTGAAAATTGATTTTGTTGTACATCGAAATATTCGTCGTAGATCCTTACAAATATATACATTATAGGCCATTGAAAGATTCTATTATATTCGTCCGTATATCTGTTGAAAGCGCAATAAAAATTTTAAACAATTCAAATCTTTTGTTTCTAATCGAATTTAAAATGTTATTTATGAAATCTACTAGAATAGTAACTACGACCAAAACTTTTTAAATGAAACACAATCATTCAAATTTGTAAACCTAGAGTCATGTGAGATGCCTATGGTTTTCAAAATTTCTCGCCTATCTTCCTATCTCCAATCGGCCAGCATCATACCCTGAATTTTTTAAACATATTGCTTCGGTTGTAGAAACCTCAACTGACGTTCAGAATGTGCTTGTACAGCCACAAAGTGGGTTATGGAAAATAGTACATTTTTAAGTTTTAAAGTATTTAACTAACTTCCCCTAGACTATAAACCAGACTATAGACTAGACTATCGATTAGCCTATAGACAAGAGTATAAACTAGATTATAGACTTTCTACTATGGACTAGACTATAAACTAGATAATAGACTATACTATGGACCAATTTATAGACTATGGACCAATTTATAGACTAGACTATGGACTAGACTGTAGACTAGAGTATAGACTAAACTATAGACTAGACTAGACTAGAACTATAGACTAGACTATAGACTAGACTATAGACTAGACTATAGACTAGACTATAGACTAGACTATAGACTAGACTATAGACTAGACTATAGACTAGACTATAGACTAGACTATAGACTAGACTATAGACTAGACTAGACTAGACTATAGACTAGACTATAGACTAGACTATAGACTAGACTATAGACTAGACTATAGACTAGACTATAGACTAGACTATAGACTAGACTATAGACTAGACTATAGACTAGACTATAGACTAGACTATAGACTAGACTATAGACTAGACTATAGACTAGACTATAGACTAGACTATAGACTAGACTATAGACTAGACTATAGACTAGACTATAGACTAGACTATAGACTAGACTATAGACTAAACTATAGACTAGACTATAGACTAGACTATAGACTAGACTATAGACTAGACTATAGACTAGACTATAGACTAGACTATAGACTAGACTATAGACTAGACCAGCGGTTCCCACCGTTTTTTACTTCGCGGACCCCTTGAGGAATTTATTTAATTTCACGGACCCCCATACATATTTTGATATCTTATTGTTATAAATAACACTGTGATACAAAAGTGAAGAAAAATAAAATGCAGGCGTTCTCATATACCAATTCTATTTCGTTATAGTCCATAGAGTACGAATATATTTTTAGTTTTCCCCTATCACTTCGTTAACTTACTTTTTAAGAGCAAAAGATGCGAAAAAGAGCCATTTTTGAAGTTTTAAATTTGAAAAATCATAAGTTTAGTAGTAGTTTTCATCCGATTTTCAAATCCGATATTTTTTTTAATGATACAAGTGTTGCCGTTTAAGTAAAGAAACTCACACTTTTTTAAAAAAATTTCATTTTCATCATGCTCTACTTTGACCTTGAGGCAGTGAGTTCATCTTTTATTACTTTCCTGAAGAATCACATAAAGGAAGGTTTCTAAAACTTGTTATTTCATAAAAATCTATGAAAAACTGGATGATTTATGCCAATTTTTCTAATAGCATGTTCCTCGAATTTTTGGTTTTCTCCATACAAATTAATTTTTGTATAAAAATGTTTATAAACATTTTTTAAACTTGTTACAAAGAAAACCAGAAACATGAACGTTTTTGTATGGAAGAAATATGCTATATTTTTATAAAACTTAGCACAACTCATAACCTTTTTCATCGATTATCATAAATTGACCATCATTGGAAACCCAACTTAATGTGCCTTTTTTCAAATGTAATAAAAGCTAAAGTTACTGCTTCATGGCCAACGTAGAGCAGTATGAAAATTAAAAATTGTGAAAAAAATGTGAGTTTTTTTACTTAAAAGGCCGTAACCAAGACATTAATCATAAATTTTGGATTTATTTTTTTGGGTTGAAAGACAACACTTGTATCTTTAAAACAAAATATCCAATTTGAAAATCGGTTGCAAACTACCATAAATATATTTTTTTAAAGTTAAAACTTCAAAAATAGCTCTTTTTCACATCTTTTGCTCTTAAAAAGGAACTAAACGAAGTGATCGGGAAAAATTAAAAATATATTCCTACTCTATGGACTATAACGAAATGGAATTGGTATATGAGAACCCCTGCATTTTTTTGCTGTATCACTGTGTAATTGTTCGTCCGAAAATTGTCTTAGTCCTGGTCCATAAACCCTATAAAATATTCCCGTACATTGAGATCGGAGATGTTTTCAATTGCATGGTTTTAAATATAGAATGACTTCTAACATGATGTTTAATTTTATGATCGTGAGAGCTTTCATGTTCATTTCTCGTCAAGGTATAGAAAAGGTTTCTTTATCAAGTATTGTCGACATGTGCTTAAAGAGTCATGTTTCTAAATTTTTTTGCGATTGCATAGGAGTGAGCTGAGTATGTAAGCTAAGTTTTCGAGAAAATATGTGAAAGTTAGACTTCTTCGATGTTGTTGCGGAATGCGTTACCCACATAAAATATGACCTGAACTCTTTGCGAATGTACTGTGAATTTGGATCTTAATTTTGAATTTTAAAATACCTACGAATTATTTTACTGCGTGGTTTTGACTATTTACGCAAAACGCTATGAATTTTCTGATGTTGATTTAATAATATTGGACAACAAAATGAAGTTAAAATCTGTGTATCACGTCGGAATGGAATATTTATATTTAAAATTAACTAGATTAACACTTTTGCTTACAATTTAAAAAAATATTATGAAATGTGACCTAACCTGGGATACCAGTATCAGTATTTAATTCTAAGGCAAATCATTATCCGTCTGCTATAAAAACATTTATTTCGATACATATACATTTATAAAAATTACAAATCACGTAATACTTTACTTTATAAAAGTGAAACAATAAATTTGTAAGGCCTAGCTTCATCCTGATAAACGACCGAAACAATAAAATTCAAAGAGTCACCAACAAATCTGGGATTATTGAATAAAAATTGTGTATTTTAGTATTTATGACAAATTTGGAGATATTTTTAATATTTTCTAACATATAGATAATATTTTTTATTCATGATTTTTTTCGTTCGTCTTCGCGGACCCCCTAGGATTTTGCTACGGACCACTAGGGGTCCGCGGACCCCCTTTTGGGAACCGTTGGACTAGACTATAGACTAGACTATAGACTAGACTGTAGACTAGACTATAGACTAGACTATAGACTAGACTATAGACTAGACTATAGACTAGACTATAGACTAGACTATAGACTAGACTATAGACTAGACTATAGACTAGACTATAGACTAGACTATAGACTAGACTATAGACTAGACTATAGAATATACTATTGATTAGTATGTGAACTATTTATAAAAAATTTATAAGTTAGAAAAAGCACCGAAAATGTCGTGGGGGTACTACAAGGCGAGCTATCTACTACAATTCTGTATAGTTCGGGCGTGCTTCGTTACATGTTTCTGCTATTCGTCCAACCTGATTTCAACAACTTATAATAGTTGTGACTCTTCTACTCCCAGCAAATAGAGTATTATCTTGATGCCATAGATATCAGGATATCGGGCTTCACATACATATGTCTTAATTTTTAGTAATCGTTAACATTGGAGTAAATTGACGAGAGATTTGACCGATTTCCTTAATACATACACACATACATATTAAAACGGAAATTTAGTTCAATCATATGTACACACTCTACAAAACAGTAAAGTAATCGAGATAAAATCTTAATAATTAACAAAAACTTGCAGAATTAAAAAAAATTTTTGGCGAATCACCAAAATAAGAAAAAAACAAACAACAGACAGATGAATAAAGGAACAGACAAACTCTTATACACACAACAGACAATGGTCAGCCGACAAAACCAGTACAATAAGATTTATGTTGAAGTTTAATTTAGCGCTACATCTGTGTGTAAATTTTAAGAAAATTTTTCAAAAAAGATCTTTTTCTAGTGATTATTACGGGTGTTGGTTTGATAACATTTAAACTTTTCTTTAACATTATTATTCTTTTTTTTGTAGGTTTCTAAAGATTTTTATATTATTTTTTGGGGTGTTAAGAAGGTAATTCAATGCTAAACTTCTCTTCTTGTTTGTTGGTATTATTTTGTCTACAATTTTTTTGTACATTATTTTCATAGCATCACACTTCCAGAGGCTAAAGGCGTGTGTTAAGATTTTTGGGTCAATTTAAAAGTATAAAGTTACTCACTCATTCAGAAGAATTTTTTGTTTGCTATTTTTTTTACTCTTTATCTTTTAATTTTGAAAAAAATATATAGTAAGACAAAAAACAGAAACAAAATACAACACAATTTATGGCGTGTCTATGTTAATGTTTAGATAATGTTTAACATAAATTTTATGACTACATTTGCTGTTAATTTAATTAACAATTTGTTAATCGTCTGTTGACTACAGAATAACAAATTCACAAAAACGAATTTAAGACGGCAATAACCGGTAAAATTATTTAAGTTTTTTTTTTTGGAATTTTTGTAAATTGACAAGTTTCGATTAAAAGATTCCGTTAACATGTTAAGATTTATTTTTTAAATGTAGCAAATTATACAATGTTGTAAGTAGCAGGAAATTTAGTGTAATAGTTTTTAACTTCCTCTCTTATTTTTAATCAAAAATTACAAAGATTTTTATACATAGTGTAAAAGAAATGGTAAAAACTGGAAAAATTTGTATTAGCCCTGTAAATTGTGGGTCCTTAGCTAAGTATGTCTGTCTTTCTGTAAGCCTTTCTGCATGATCTACAGTAGTCGGAATCCGCTCGTACAATTTTGTTTTGTTGTGAATGTAAACCTGTATGTCTACTCAGATTTTAGTGATCCCACCCAATTCGGACGTCGTTGCGCAGAACGGATAACTTCCTGAAGTTCCCTTTCATTTATAGCTCTTTTATTGCCGATGACGTTAGAATGGCCAGGTACCCAAATAAAACCGGTTATGGCCGTCTTACCGTCCAAAATGGTTTTTAACCTTATCAACTGATATCGTCCATCTGACATTCGCAATACTGCTCTGTGTTGTAAAATAATTCACACGACATATTTGTTATCTCTTAAAGACGTTCAGGCCGATTACAATTTGGGTTTTAGACTAAACCCTGGGGGAGACAATTTCAACTCAATATTTATACTAGTAGAGACCATTTAGTGTCACTTAACTTTATCAGATGATATCGCCCTAGTTTTGTTCTGCACGTCGCAAAATATGTTAACCTCTGTTGGCGCCATATTCAGTCCAATAAATTTAACACATTCAGTTATATCACGGACTTTCGCTTGGAAGTTAGTGTTGTGATTAGAAAGACGTTAGAGTGTATTTCACTCGGTTCTAAAAGCAATCTGTATAACAACAGATTTCCGCAGAGGTTTCATCTAATGTACCGCTTGAACACGATTATCTATTTGGGACACGATTGCGATACAGTTTGGATCATTCACCTCTGTTGATTTTGTATAATCGTTCAATATAATTGACCACTATAGACTGATGACCTCTAATCGGTTTTTTAATAAACATTTTATTTAAAATAATAATAAGTATATTTAATCACACTTTTATACCCAAAGTATGTAATAAGGAAAAGAACAGAACAATTAAAAGCTAAACACCATCACGTGATATTTGTTTTCTTATCTAAACAATGCCGGAAAAATCACATAATAATTCTGGATAATAATTTTACCACAAATGACACAACATTCCCTAGAAATACCTACAAATGTACTTAACTTCTAATGTACTTAAAATATTTTCTTTTCGTTATAGTTGTTGGTTTTTCTTTTTTTTTCGAATAAAAACATTTCTTTTTGGTAATAAAATACCTCAACCACCCCTAAAAGAATTTTCTTAATTATGCTCTTAAACCACTTATTATCCAGTTAAAACGAGTCATAAAAAAATGGTTTTGTTGGTAAGTTAATAAATTCACTTTAAATGCCTTTTGGTGAAATAACAATTGCAGTAAGGAGAGAAAAAAACTGAATTTAATTAAAACAGTGATTATACCGCAGTTATTACCAACATAAACAACATGTGTGTGTGAAGGAAGGAACGAAGGTATGTATGACGGAGTTAGTGTGTGTGTGTGTGAGTTTTTACCATTTATGGTCACATGTATTATGGTTCCGATAAAGATTCGTGACTTAAAACGCGTGAGAATTTATTCTTTTTTTTTTGTTGTTATTGCAGTATTAACAAAAATCATCATCATCATTCATTCACCTCGGCTTAATTTATAAACTAAAAGTACTTTTTATGCTACTTGTGCCACTAAATAAATCTGTAGAGATATTACTTACTATAACCATAATACTATCTGTAGTTATACACGCCTGTATTTAAGTAGCCGGGTGTTAAAGTTTATAATTCATAGAAACTATTAATTTTGCGTTGGGTTTTTTTTTAATTTTTCATTTTTTTCTGTTTCGTTTTTTGTTTATTTAATATTTAATTATGTATAAGATAAATGGCATTTTAAATGAGAGCTATTTGTTTTTATTTATACATTTTGTTTGTACCGAAATGAAAACAAATAATTGGCAAATGTTATAGAACTAACAACGAATATTTAACTACTGTTTGGTTAACAGCACCAGCAGCAGTATGGCCTGCAGCATCATCACATGTTCAAACAGTGAACAGTGGTAGTAAGAAGAGAAAAATTAAAAAAATGTAGATCTTCCCCTCATTGAAATACTTGTTCATAAAGTTTCACTGAAACCGATATTTAGGCCGAGTAATTCAAAAGACATCTAATTATACGGCACATCAATTAAGGTGCTTCACGTTTGTGCCTGGAGAGTAGGCCTAACCCATGTCTTATATTAGATTGCTCAATACTACAACATTCCATTCTACAATCCATTCTTTGATTATCAACTTATTACCAACATTTAGTTCCACTGTCACTCTTCTGATACCACATACAAGTGATACCATTGAATTTTCCTTCCTTGTCCAGATATGTTCAGAGTAAACTCTGTTCATATCAGAATTACCACAGCGTGTCACTGTGAGTAAGAACAAAGTCTCGGCTTATTTGATGGATTCGTACTTCGGTCTACCGGTTACGTCTCTAGGTGCTGTTGCCGAATCAACAGAGGCCATCCCATCTGCGTGGTTGTAAACGGAAGTGATGTTTTACATCTCGGAAGTAAAGCAACGGGGCAGCAATGGTCAGAGATTAGATAGCTCAAGTACTCGAGCAAAGTTCTTGTACATGGACCGGCTTTATCCATGTACAAAAATTGCGACCTGCATGTAAGATACACAAAGGGGCAGTGGTGAGTTGTTGAAAAAGTACCACAGTGAGATAGGGCTACACGCCAGGTACTCACGTAAAGCACTTCAACATTCTTCTCACTCTTCTGAGTGGTTCTGTTTTCTTAGCAACAATACCGAAATTATCTATCTATCTATCTATCTATCTATCTATCTATCTATCTATCTATCTATCTATCTATCTATCTATCTATCTATCTATCTATCTATCTATCTATCTATCTATCTATCTATCTATCTATCTATCTATCTATCTATCTTTATATCTATCATGGAGACAAATATAGCTTAAAATTAGGGTTGTGAACGCGGATCATGTTTAGCTAGTATTACAAAAAAAATAATATTGCAACTTCTTAAAGTCATCCACGTTAAAACGTTTGCTCTACACTCTTACCCACTGTGCCCTTAAAACAAATTGGTATTATCATCATCATCATTCACGTATGTACTTAAGTGTTAAAATGAAACCCAGCAGGCGTCATGTTAAGAAAATAAAATAATGTTTTTATATTCACTAGTATTCTATTTCACCATAAAAAATCAACAACAAAACATCTAAACACTTCCTTCGATACTTAACAATATTGGGCCAAGTTATGACCTATAAATCGTATGACGTATAAATCGTTAAAAACAACAACAGAAAATAATAATGATCATATATAAACAAATCGTTAACAACTTGAACTTTATGTTAACGGTACATATGATGGCAATATTTTTGATACCCTCAAAAAGTTAATAAAAATAACGAAAACCCAATTAGCATATATCAAAGATACAATTTAAACTATTTCAGTTAAAAGTATTTATTTATTTTCCAATAGAAAATGTATCATATCTTCCGCGATTTGATTTTTTCGCTTTTTTCATTTATGTCGATACCACCATAAATATAAATAAAAAACAGTTTACTAAACCTTAAAGGCTTTTCAGTGGTTTGCTTTGGCCAGACAACAGCAAAAACTTGTGTTCATTTAAAACAAATTAAACTTAATCAATTTGTAGTACGCAATATATTGCAATAGTATATTCTATATACTCGTACTCTATATTCATATCGCTTTTGGCTTTTAACTTTCAATGCTGTAATACCACAAATTGACCGAACCATGTACCCGGTATTTACATGGATGGGTATTAGTGCAAGTATAGCTTGTTTTCAAGTTTTAAGCGAAAACTTCAATTACTATAAAATTGATATGCCACCCGTTTAACATGGCTTTTTGTGTTGGAATATTTTTATGTCGTCATCATCATTTGTAAATGCAACACTACAGAGTTTTAATAAGAAGTTTAAATTTTCGAAGGAGATTGGTAATATGCCCAGAAAAAACTTACATTGAAAAGTAATGAGTTAAAAAGCTAATAAAATCTCTTTTCACTACTTACTCACTGGCATTTTAACTCATTATTTAAAGACGATGATGTCATTGGAGGCAAGTACCACACTCGCTTACAAATAGGGAGTTAAAGATGTACTTACACCCTCGCTTACAAAGAAGTTGTTGAGTAATTTGTTTTGTTTCTAATAATGAAAACAAAATGGCAAAGCTAAAAATAAAGCACTTCTATATCAGATTAAAAGGAAGTCATTACTACAGTCTTTTTCATCCACTGGGTCGACTTGAGAACGGTCTACCACGCACCCCTGAATCATTCTATGAAGAACTCAGGGGGTAATTTTTGTACATGGCTGTGTCGGTCTAAACAATCACATTGCTGAAGTTCTCGAGCTATCTAAACGTTTGCCATAGTAGCCCCGTTGCGGAATGGCAGGCAGCATGAGATCAATCCCAGTACAAACCCCGACAAGGAGAAAGCTATCACTGGAAAGTCAATAGACAACCCCTACATCAGGGTGAAAGGTTGCATTATTTAAAATGCAATCCCCATCAACTATTGACCCATTCCAGTGCATTCCTTAACCTTTTAAAGCCCGCGCAACCACACTACTGAGATGGCCCTGTTGACTCGGCAACAGCACCTAGAGACGTATTTGGTAGTCCGAAATATCCAGCCAATAAATAAGGATCTCTCTGCATGTTAGATAATGTGGCAAAGGATGTAGGAATTTCCAAAGTCAATTCGAACCCAATAATTGCCTCGACAAGTTGAGTGGCAGGTATCAATCGTAACATGAAACAATATGAATCTTGTTGAGATGGCAACAGCATCGAGAACTTCTCTGAAGTTAAAGGTCTACTATATCAGTTCTAGTCTCCTGTCGGGCAGAGGAGTCTTTCCCGTTCGTTCACCAACTTACATCAGTTCCATTCTCAGATCATAAAGAACGATCTACGGAATGACAGGCAACTAACAAGTGTCAAACTGAGAATTCCCCAACCTATACTGGCGTCCTATTACGCGAAGAGTAAGAGATACTCAACAGGTTCGGGAATAGTTGCTCTGTCACATCACCCGAGAGAGACAATCGAGACATAGTATTTATCAGTCCTTAAACCAACATTATCTCCCCGCGAATTTGGGTATAAACTACAGCCACTACGTGGATCCCGAAGGAACGTCGACCAACTGACCAGCTGGGACAAGTCCTGTGGTCAATTGGCCACCCGTAGTACCAGATTATTTGGTGCTGTGGTTCGATCCCATGTCAAATCATTCCAAGAAATGGCCGAGGATACATTTGATCATCACCAGTTTATAGTGCCGGTAGACTAGAGGTATTGCTATCACATCTTTTCCCCGAGATATTGCAATAACACCAAGATGGAGATTTCACTAAGGTAACATGCCACCGGAGGGAAGTAATGCCGATAGTAAGTAGTAGTCATTGAAAAGTAAGTAGTTATGTAAGTACAAACCATTTCCGAGTTTTTGCTGGGAGTATAAGGAAGAGAATAAGTCGAACAACAGTTTCAAAGGGGACCAAAGACATTCATTAGAAAAGCAGCTCGTAGGTTAAAGTCGTATAAAGTTCAGAAAGTTCCAGATCAATATGGTAAACAACTTAGAAGAATGAAAATTTAAACACAAAAATTGAGGTCAAATTTTGTAAAAAATACACTTGTCGTGTGATGGATGATGAAATATATGTAATGGAGGACTTTTCACAACATCCGGGTGAATATTTGTTTGGTCAATTTGAGTATTGAAATCAATCTTGAAATCAATGTTTGTATAAAAATATATCGTTATTTTACAGGATGGACCATAACAAGTCCCATGCTAGACTTCACATTTGACCCATCTCTGTTAACTTCTTTCATATCAGATTTTTGTGGCTCAGAAGACTCCTTTATCCCCACTAGAAGTACCTTCAAAAGTCTTTACAATCCTTAACAAACCCAATTTTTTTTTTTTGTTACTACAACTTACTTTTTTTCTAAATCTTCGTTGGCGGTTTAAAGTTCTGTATTACACTCCGTACATAAGTAATGCAATTCTTTATTCACTTTATTTCATCTTCATTTGAATCGTTTTACAATTTCCTGCCCTGCGGATTAGTATGTAAATATATTTTAAGATTTGATTATTCTTGCTTTAAATTGCAGCTTTTGTGATTTCGAATAAATGGGTTAAAACCTTTTAGTGTTTGTTATAAGAAAAAAAACACAAGAATGAATTTAAATAAAATTTAAACGTTTAGGACAAGTTAACTATTAGTATTTGCTTTATTTTCTTTTAATAGTTTAACTATATAGTTTTAATTACTTAGATGAAAAATTAAAAAAAAAACAAATTTGGTTAAATTGTGGTTAAAAACATATTTACGTAATAAAATATAATTATATGTAAACGGTTCATTAAAAAGATTTTATCATTTTTGACACACATTTTAGAAGAAGAGTTTGACAGCACTTATCTGAACATAAACTAAACAAAAAGAGATGAAAGTTGTCTGTCTAAAATCAATCTTTTAAGAATATTTTTCAGCTGACAGCTTGTCCCCATAAGAGAAGATTGTTTGATTTTGAACAAAAAAATTTGGGTCTTTTTGTGAAACTTAAAAAAATTTTTAACACGTACTACAGATTATAGACTTTTAATAAACTGTAAACAAAATTTGATGTTTAAA